ACCTCGCGAAGAAGCTCTAGGCTACCCCTCAGAGTGTCGTCTTCGAATTCCCTCCCTCCATCTAGGGGCCCCCAGCCCTGCTTCTCAGAGCCACAGGTTTGGAGAGAAAGGGCCTGACCAGTCACCTGCTTTCATCCTGTCCCTCCCCCAACACCTTCCAAGCATCCCCTGCGCATGGGCCCAGCTGCCAGTTCGGCCCTCGGTTTGGGTGCTGAGCAGACACCCTGACATTTCCTCCAGCCGCCCGAGCCCACCTCCCAGGCCGGGTCCCAGCCCGACCTCATCAAGAGTCTTGAAACATTTGAGGCCAGCTCTGGGCCCAGCATCTCCTGGCGCGCCTGGCTCTGGTGCCAGCTGAACCATCTCAGATTTAGAACGTGGGTCACCAGGGTCCACGCAGAGACAGGACTCTCCCCTGGCAGGTCTGACCTGCCCACGTGTGAGCCTCAGGGTGACCCCTCCGGCCACATGAGTTTCTAGGTCATCATCAACCCCAGCCCTTGGTCTTTTTCACGTGTCGTCATTCAACCGTACCAGACTCATAGCGCCTACACTCCGGGCTGGTCACCTGGCCAGAGAACGGCTCAGCTGATCTGAGGTTGCCAAAAATACTGACTTTCTCCTCACTCTATAGGTTAAGGACACAGGGCAGCTTCAGCTCCTTATCTCTTTATCCTCCGTCCAGAGGTGTCCTGAGCCAGCTGGTGAGACCCAGTTGTTAAATTTTAGGGCATTTTGTGAGCTGATTGTTAAATATAACCATTAACAAGAAAGTAAATTATATAAACGTATAAAAAGTTACTTTAAAAAGAGTGACAGAAATACTAAGAACTATATCTTAATGATTGTACTCTTATCTGTACATTCGAGGTTATTTACAACTATTGTTTCCAAGCAATGGAAATACTATCGGAAATACTGCAAATCTGTTCCCAGCTGCATGTGTTGGTGGCTTGAAATTAGTCACTTTGGGATTATTTACACCGTAAAAAAATGGCGGAAGCTCCGGATCAGGGCTTGGTTGTTTTGTTGACTGTGTAGGGCAGAGGTCAGCAACCTTTCCCTGTAAAGAACCAGATAGTAGGTCTTTTCAGCTTCACAGGCAGTGCGATCTCAATCGCAACTCTCCCAACTCCTGTTAATGGCTGAAAGCAGCCATAAACATGTAAACAAGTGAGTGTCAACGAAGCTGTGTTGCAATAAAACTTTATTAAAAAAAAAAACAACAACAGACCAGGGGCCAGATTAGGCCTGAGGGCCATAGTTTGCTGGATGGCAACTTAAGAAGGTAATGGAGAAAATGTTAGCGAAGATTAAGCTCAAAAAGTGTTACTGTGAGAATTTCAGCAGAGACCGTAGCCACACTGGGGCAGGCAGGAAGCCGGGTACCTAAGGGGGTGAGGAGAGGCATTCCAGCTTTTGTCTCGTCTCTTAGGTTTCCCCTTTCACGTTCATCTTGTTAGGGAAGGAAAGTGAAAACACAACCAACTTCACCTCATGGAACTGCTTGCCTTTGCCAACTGTAACCACAGGTATTGGCAAAGATGAATAAACGCAATTTGTGAGACTCCGTTGGCGCTGTAGAATTCACAACCAGGAGTATTGTGTATTCTATTATTACTGACAGCTTGTGTGCTTCACACCTTTTGTATCAGTTACGTTAATAATACGTGGATATGTACATGCATTCCTACGTAACACGCACGCACGCACGCGCACAAATACACTTTTTGTGGAGAGCCGGTTGTGGAGCATCGCCAGCACGCCACCGCCCATACCCATTAAACGACAAGTCTGGCAGGACGTGCTTTGCGAGTCGTCGGGCTCTCCCTCCCTCCCACTCCATTCCCACCCTTCCCTGCCTTACCTCTGCCTACCTCTCTCACTTAAATACCTCCCCAAACAGCTTCTGGCCATCTGTGCCCGCATTCAGATAGTGACTCTGATTGATCAACCCACGTTCTTAAGATATATTTGTTATAATGTTCATTTATTTTTGAGAGAGAGAGAGAGAGAAAGCGCCCATGTAAGGGAGAGAGGGAGACGGAAGATCCGAAGCGGGCTCCACACTGACTGCAGAGCTCAGCCTACCAACTGTGAGATCATGACCCGATTCACCAACTGAGCCACCCACCCGCGTGCCCTCATCAGCCCACGTTCTTAACCCTTGAAAGCCCTCGGCCTGAGCCTTCGGCCTGTTTGGTCCTTCTCTGGCTCTTTCCCAGCACAAACAGCCCCAGGCGCATCTCAGTGCAGGGTGGGGGGGGGCGGGGGCAGTTCCCTGTTAGGCCCGTCAGGATGCTGACAAAGGAGTCCCTGCTGCGTGGGAGCGGCTCCTTCCTCCTGCATGCCTGCCCCGCTCTTCCTTCCTTGCAGCCTGGGGGCCCCCCCTCCGCTCCCAAGGGGCCACGATTTCCCAGCCCAGGATTCCTCCGCGGAACCATAAAGTGGTCAGGACACAAATGACATCAAGATTGCAGTGCTAGTACTTTAAAAAGCCCTTTGCTTCCTTTTCAATGACAATGATATCCTTGCAATGAATAGTTAAGGAGTAAATTGGTGGAAAGCTGTCTCAGTCACTTGGCTCAGACTCCATTCGTTCATTCATTCATTCAGCAGGTCCTTGTTTGGCCCCCACCAGGTGCCAGGTGCCATTCTAGATGCTGGAATGAGCCCTGCGCCTGCCGTCATGGAGCTCATAGCTGTGACCTGTGTCGTCCCCAGACCCCAGGATTGCATGAGGCTTGGAAAGTAACTATTACGACACAGCAGTTTGACGCTGATACATATCAACCTAACAGGTGACTAACTGATAGGACAGGCATTTAAAATGGGCAAACTCCGGGGGCGCCCTGGAGGCTCAGTCGGTTAAGCGTCTGACTTCGGCTCAGGTCATGATCTCAGAGTTCATGAGTTCAAGCCCCGCATCGGGCTCTGGTGCTGACGGCTCAGAGCCTGGAGCCTGTTTCAGACTCTGTGTCTCCCTCTCTGTCTGCCCCTCCCCCGCTAGCACTCTGTCTCTGTCTCTCTCTCAAGAATAAATAAACCTTAAAATTTTTTTTAAATGAAAGAACATGGACCAACTCCTGGGGGTTATTTGGTACCTTTCTCATAACCATTTAATTTCTGTGGGATTTTTTTGCCCCTTCTGTGCCTCAGTGCCACGGAAGACGTGCCACATCCCGCCTCCTCTCCCGCTGTCGGGCGAGCAGACGCTGAGGTGCAGTGACTCTACCCTCCTGCTCCTGTCCAGGCCCCCCAGAGGCCAGGCTGGGGACAGGGCGCAGGGTGAACGGGCACCTCTGTTCTGAAAGTGCCCAGCGCCGAGTCCTTCCCAGGCCCGGGAGCCGGCTTTCTCCCTTCTTTTCAGCCCTAGACGTGCAGCCTTTGGAGAATCTGATTGACTACATCGCTTCTCACTTGGGCAAGACTAACGTGCAGCTTTGGTCTCATCGTTGTTCTACCACTTTCTCTCAAAAAGAGCCTCTCCTGGCTGGCTTTTCAGAAGAGCATGCAGCTCTTGATCTTGGGGTCGTGAGTTCAAGCCCCACATGGAGTAGAGAGATTACTTAAGTAAATAAATAAAAATAAACTTAAAAAGAGCCGCAATTGCTAACACAGAGCTCTCAAAATATAACCGATTTCTGGGGCGCCTGGGTGGCTCAGTTGGTTAAGTGTCTGGCTTCGGCTCAGGTTGTGATCTCCAGGTTCGTAGGTTTGAGCCCCGCGTCGGGCTCTGTGCTGACAGCTCAGAGCCTGGAGCCTGCTTCGGATTGTGTGTCTCTCTCTCTGCCCCTCCCCCGTGCTTACTCTCTGTCTCTCTCAAAATAAACTTTATATCTATGTATCTCTCTCTCTCTCTAACCCATTCCTGAACTAAGCATTTCCCTGAAGACAGTGTCCTGTCTGCATAGTGCCTGTCCTCCAGTGATTGACCCGGGACACAGGCCCGCGGGCCCCGCTCCGGGGGGCAGGCACCACACAGGCCTCCCGCATTCCTGGCGCCGGCGTGGCAGGCCAGGGTCCTGGGCGGCGCCCAGACACACCGACACACGTAGCCGGTCCTGCGCGCCAGACACACGCCAGTCTTTACTGGCGTGTGTTCTCATAACGACCTGCTCTGTTCCAAGCACGGTTACCACCCCCGCTTTGAGGAGAAAAACACTGACGCGCTGGGACCGAGTGGGGGCAGGGCCACAGCCCAGGCTCCTAGCCACCCCGCTGGGCCACCACTGTGTGAAGCTTCTGTGTCCCCCCCTGCCCCGCCCCCGTTGAAAATGCTTTGCAAGCAGACAGGTGGGGCTTGGCCCCCCCTGCTGTGTTGTTAGGGTGAGGCTCTCAGAAAGTCAGCCCTGAGCTGCCGTGATTGGGGCTCCCTGCCCCAGGCTTCATGCTCTCGGGGGCCCCCTTTGACCTTTTCCAGGAACACCCCCTTCCCTTGGCGCCAGGAGGCCTCTGGGCCAGAGGGACGCGTCCACCTGAAGCCCGTGTTCCCCCTTCCAGATCCCGCTGCAGGCGCACAGGGCCCTGGAGCCCCCTGGTCAGGCACCCCAGGCCGCCGGTGTGTGCGCGGGACAGAGGTGGGGGGCTGATTACAGGGTGCGGGTGAGGCACGGGCACATGGGCTGGTGTCCGCACTGGCATGCAGGGCCCTCTGGGGGCAGCGGCCACCTGCCCTCCCCACGCCGCAGCGTTCCTGTGCCGGTCTGCAAGGCCAGCAATTCCAAGTTCGAACCCGGCCCCTGAGGGGTGGGGGGTGCTGTCTGTCCAGGCAGGAGGCCAGGACATCCCTGTGTCCTCTTCCCGGGCCCCGTGACGTCAGGGTGGGCCTGGCAGCGCGTGGGCAGAGCGGAGCTGGGTTGGGGGATCCGAGCATTCCTCCCCCCCTCGCCAGGGATGCTGTGAGGTGCAGGGTTTGGAGAGCACCCAGCGACCAGTCACTCCGCCCCCTGCTGGCCTTGCGGGAGGGGCCTGACCTCGCTTTGTCCCTTGTTCCTCAGCTGGGGGGTCCCGCTGGCCATCACCGCGGCAGCTGTCGCTCTAAAGAAGATCGGCTATGACGCCTCGGACGTGTCGGTCGGCTGGTGCTGGATCGACCTGGAGGCGGAGGACCGCGTCCTGTGGATGCTGCTGACGGGGAAGCTGTGGGAGATGCTGGCCTACGTCACGCTGCCTGTGCTCTACCTCCTCATCCGGAAGCACATAAACCGGGCGGTAGGTACCTGCGGGCCGCCAGCCGCCAGCCCCGACCTCCCGGTGGCCACTGTGGCCCCCAGCCGGGCGCTGGGCTCGGCCACCTAGGGGCCAGGCCAGGACTGTGCATCGTGGGCCGTCTGGTTTGCCAACTCCGCGGCCCTGGCAGGAGTGGGCCCTGGCACTCCTCCGCTGGGGACCAGGAATCAGAGACTGGCTGAGGCCGAGGGGCTCCCCAGACCCACCCCGACCCTGAGGCCAGAGCCACTGTGCGTGGAGTCCGGGAGGCGAGCGCCCCGCGCATAGGCCTCTACTGCCCCCTCCTGGCAGGCCCGGGAGTTGCTCCACCTCGAAGAGAGTAGAGCTGCCCAGGGAGCAGTTGAACTTGGATGCCTCTGGAAGAGGAGGGCGTGGAATTTCGTAATCGCGACACAGAAGCCTCACCGCGTTACCTGTGGTCGTTAAAAGTGTGTCATAAGTCGAGGCCTCTTCAGGGTCTCGGGGGCAATAGCCGTGCTGGCCGGAAATTCAGGCAAAAAAAGCTGTTCCTCCGACGAAGTGGCCAAATTGTTCCTTGTCCTGCGGGCTGTGCGGGCCTGCAGTACCGGCGTCCCGCCGGCGGAGGCGCTGCGGGGCGGGGCGGGGCGCGGTGGGGCCGCAAGGCGACGGCGACAGGGGGCCCAGCGCCAGTTCGGTGCGCGACAGAGCTGAGCGGGGCGACCGAGCTCGGCCGGGGTTCCGGGGCCGCCGTGCGCGGGCCTTTCTCTTGGCCCCTGTGACAGCGGCTGGAACTGCGGGGAGCGGGGCCCCTGTCTGATCTCTCGGGGCGTCCTGTGACTTCCCAGTTTGTACGGGGCTCCCCGCCTCCCACCCGTGTCTTTGGAGTCTAGACCTCGGGATCCCTTTTCACGCAGAGATTTCATTGCCGCCCCCCGCCCCTTCCGGCGCCGCTGGAGTTGCTGACCGACTGGTCTGCAATCTGCCTCCTTGCGGGTCTCCCAGCCGGCGGGAGACCCCCTTCTTGGCTCCTTTTTTCCCTGGGAAGATTCTGGGCTCCCTGATGAAGCCTCCCCAGGCTGCCCCTATGGAGCTGCCCTTATGTGTCGGTGCCTCCCGGTGGGAAACCTGTGAGACCAACCCCCCAGGGCAGAGGGATCCTCTCTCACGAGTCTGCAAGTGTTTCCAGAAAACGGGGAGACTAGCGGGCAGGGCTAGTGTGGGCTGTCCTCTGCCTCCAGCTGGGAAGGAGAGCTAAAAATAAGTGATCTGGAGCAAGCTTTGCAAGGCAGAGGGCAGCCGCCCGCTCCCCAACCCCCAGGCTGCCTGGGTTCTTGGAGGGCCCCCCTGCTCCCCGTTCTTGGAGGGCCTCCCTGCTCCCCTGCTCCCCCCGCCAGGCTCCAGGCTCCATGGGTTCCGGAAGGACCCCCCTGCCCCCCTCTCCCCCCATGAAGTTTAAGTTACTTAAAACAAACAGTAAAAATCCTNCCCCCCCCCCCCCCCCCCCCCCCCCCCCCCCCCCCCCGTTCTGGAAGGGCTGAAGTTGTAGCCTCCGGGGAGGAAGGGAGGAAGCAGTGCCCGGCAGGTGAGCTGCAGCAGCTTGGGTGCTCAGAGGAGCCAAGGCATGTATGTGGCTTCTCCCCTCACCTGGGCATTCAGGGTTCCCGACACAGGGCTGGGCTCAAAAATACGTCTTTGTTGGGAGGACTTTCATCTCTTTTTACAAGTTCAGCTGCGACCTGGAAATGGAGCCTCCCCCTTCCTCTCACTGAAGGGCATTGCCAGGGATCCGGAAGCCAAAAGCCTGTGCCTGCTCCCCCTTTCTGTTCTTCGCCAGCTTTGGGTGGGGCCCCCTCCTTCACAGGCCTTTGCAGCCTAGGGGGATTGCATTCAGGAGGAGAGGAAGGGGCCACCGTAGGCAACAGACCTGCTGCACAAAGATGAATGACATCTAGGAAGGGGGATGGCAAGAGCTACGAAAAAACAGGCGAAAATAAAGGGCCGACTATAGGGCACTTCCTGGGAAATGCCTTTGCGCTTTAAAAGCCGTCGTCAGGCTAGGCCTCCCCCAGGGGGCGACATCGAGCAAAGACTTGAAGAGGGTGAGGGCGTGACAGGTGGGGAACAGCACTCCAGATGGAAGGAACAGCCAGTGCAAAGGCCCTGCGAGTAGGGTGTGCCTGGCAGAAGTTTGGGGAATCACCAGGAGGCCTGAGTGGCTGGAGGAAACCAGGGGAGACCAGTCAGCATGAGGTCAGAGCCAGGCCTTGTAAGGAATGTATGACATGGCGAGACCTTTAAGTGGCAGGTTGGCCGAGCCTGACCTGGGCGTTCAAGGAACCGGGCTCCGTGGAGAACGAGAGTGCGGTGGGAGGAGGCTGGGTGGGGAGGGTGATGGCCGGGAACCATGGCAAGTGCCCAGCGAGGCTGTCATGGTGCTTGGACCAGGCTGCTGGCAGTGGCAGTGGACAGAACATCCACATTCTGGATGTCCTTTGAAGTTAGAGCCCGCAGGGCCTAGGGGTGGGGTGCCGGCTGTAGCAGCGGGTCGGGGCTCCTGGCCTGGGCGACCGGAAGGCCACCATTTCCGGGAACGGGTACCGGGGGCCCAGATCAGGCATTGCCTTCTCCATACAGGCGATCTCAGACGTGCTTCAGACACCCCGGGGGGCGCCGCGCGGCGGGCAGTGGCTGGAGGGCAGACAGGGGAGCCCGCCTGGCTCACGCCTCTTCCCCGTGTCCCCCGACACAGCACGAGGCGCTGTCGGAGTACCGGCCCATCGTCACCGAGGAGCACCGGCTTGGGCGCCACGCCTCCGCGGCCGATAAGAAGCTCATCCTCATCCCGCTCATCTTCATTTGCCTCCGGGTCTGGAGCACCGTGCGATTCGTCCTGACCCTCTGCGGCTCCCCGGCGGTGCGCTCGCCGGTGCTCGTCGTTCTGCACGTATGTGGTGCCGGTCCCTGCCGTCCTGCGCGCGGTGGCTCTGGCGCAGGGTCACGTGCCTTCCCCCCCCCCCACCCCCCGGCCACATAGCAGGTGCATCCCAGTGCACCAGCCAGCACCAGCCGGCCCCGGGCTGGATCTTGGGTCCGCGGTGCCTTCCCCCCTGCCCGGGACAGGGAGCCTCGGTGAGAGAAGGTGGAAGGGCGGTGAGGCTGTCGTGCAGCCCAGGGACCTAAGGTGCCATCCCCAGTGGCCGAGGAGTAGCCCCGGCTGAGCTGACCGCTCCTGTCCTTCCTTTGCAACCCAGAAGACCTGGAGATAGGTCTCCCCCCCGCCCCCCCCCCACCCCGCCCAGGCACTCAGGCCTCTTCTTTTCTCCCTGACAGGGCATCGGAAACACGTTTCAGGGCGGCGCCAACTGCATCATGTTCGTGCTCTGCACTCGCGCCGTCCGAACCCGGCTCTTCTCCTGCTGCTGCCGCTGCTGCCCTTCGCCGCCTCCCGCCCGGAGCCCGGCCGGCCCTCCCAAGGCTCCTGCGCCCTCAGCGGCGGGAGAATCTCAGGGACGCAGACTCACCCCAGATGCACCTCCCATCACCTGAGCTGTTCCCTGCCCGCTTCCGGGCACAGGTGATGTCCACCCGGGGACGGGAGGTTCCGGAGTCCCCGCCGCAGGGCGTGGGGGTGGGTGTCTGCTGAAGTGTTGACTTTCTGCTTTTGAAGCTCTTGACGCCCGCCCGCTGGGGGAGCAGCCAGCAAACAGCTTCCTCTACCTCCTAGACCCCCAGGGGTTTATCCGCACCCACGCGTGTCCTGCTGCACTCGCTCGGAGGGGTGCTCGTCTGCAGGAGGGGTGGCGGTGAGATTCAGGGAAACCGGTGGTGCGCAGTCACTGTTAGGCTGCCCTGCGGTCGGGGGGTCATCAGCCCCGGGGCCACACAGCACTGTTTACAGTTCGGGGGACCACGCCTGTGGGGAGAGCGCAGTGAGATGTGGATACCATGCACCCATCCTAAATAAAGTGTCCGGGGGTGCCAGAGATGCGCCCCCCTCTTAGATGTCTTTTGGTTTGTCGGGGGAGGGGGCAGTGAGATTTCCGAGAGAGGCTAGTTTTTCGCAGAGAGCTTTGCTGGTCAACGAAAGAGCCCTTCAACCAGGTCGGAGGTTTCCCAGTGAGGTTTACACTGTGAGACCAACGGCCCCGGGCAGCCGGGCTCCTTGGGACGCCCCAAAATCTCTCTGTGGGCGGCCAAGCCTTGATGCAGGTTGTGTTTGAATTTCAAGCACAGGCCAAGCCCAGACTCCTCCCTCCACCGGTCACTTAAAATGCAGGTTCCCTCGTCCAGCGCGAGAGCTAGGACAGGGGCAGGAAGAGTCCATGGCAGAGACCCCCTGTGGGTGCCGCTGCCCCCTCGGGTCTGCCCTCGTGAGCACTGAGACGGGGAGGGGCCGGCTTATGCGCTTCCTGCTCTGTTGTGTTTTTTTTTTTCTTTTTTTTTTAATAGGAAAGGTGACCGGAGAGTTGGTGAATGATCCAAATACAGATTCCTCCCTGAAGGGGAAGGTTTGGGGAATTGGTTGGGAAAAGAGAAAAGGATTTGAAATGAGCATCTGCGGTCTCTGTATTCATGGCTCTTCCAGGAACGATTTCCTCTTATTTCAGAAAACAATTTCTCTGTTAAGTCACAGAAGTCACAGAAGCCACAGAAGCCAGGCAGTGATGCAAGTGTCAGTGTAGTGTCACTGCCTTGGGGAGGGAGCATGCCCACACCTGTCCTTCCCTTGGGTTCCATCAGAACTCTGCAAAACCAAAATGGTCTTCTGAGCCTGAAAAATGGTTCTGGATTAAAACCAAAGCCTCATCATACTGTTGATTCCTTTTTTTTTTTTTTAAGTTTATTTATTTACTTAGAGATAGAGAGAGTGCGTGGGAGGGGCAGAGAGATAGGGAGAGAACCGGACATGGCGCTTGAACTCACGGACAGCGAGATCAAGACCTGAGCCGAAATCGGGAGTTGGACGCTTAACCGACTCAGCCGCCCAGGTGTCCTGTTGAATCCTGTTTTATTCTTAAAAGCAAGATCTGTCACAGGAAAAGAAGGGGAAAGGAAGTCGTCAACAGAACTAGGTTCGAAATGCTCTTTTTGAGGTTCCTTTTTTTTTTTTTAAAGAAAAAGTTTTCTTTTTTTTTTTTTTTTAAATATTTTTTATTTATTTTTAGGACAGAGAGAGAGAGAGACAGTGTGCGCAGGGGAGGGTCAGAGAGAGAGGGAGTCACAGACCGAAACAGGCTCCAGGCTCCGAGCTGGCAGTCAGCAAAGAGCCCGACGCGGGGCTCGAACCCACAAACCGCGAGATCATGACCTAAGCGAAAGTCGGACGCTCAACCAACTAAGCCACCCAGGCGCCCCAGAAAAAGTTTTCTTTATGAAAATCCGCAAGAGGTGATCAGCCCCTTAGGGAATGGAAGCCCCGGGCTGCCCTACAGAGAGCGACGTGTCATTGGGCAGTCTCCTCACAGAAATGGCCAGTATAAGAGAACTCCAGGGTCCCCCTAAAGACGATACATCAGGTCATGGGCACACAGCTCGTTAAGGCCCTCACGATAGCTTCTAGAATGGAGCAGATGTTCAGGAAGTTGCTTGCTACAGAAAAGAAGATGGTGCCCAACGGACTTAGCGTGGGGGGCGGGGAGGATGATGTAACAATAAAACCTCAGACGGGACCCTGAGTCCTCGGCTTAGGCTGCAGCGCGGGCTGGCTGCCGGCTGCGGTCGGGGGAGGCCAGCAGCGGGGGCAGGGGCGCAGGAGAATCGCTGGGTGCCTGGGGCTTCCTCCAATTCTCCTTCCACTTGTCTGATGCCCCTGCTGTGCTGTCTGCTTTTGCAAAAACCACCCAGAAGCTGCCCCTGGATATTTCCATTTCAGCTTCCTCCGCCGCCCGCCCCGTCTCTGCAGCAGGTGGATGTGTTACTGTGAGCGGCGGAGAGCCTGTGGGCAGGGCGCGGGCTTGTCCCAGTGCGCGAGCCTGCGGCCAGGGGCCAGGTGGGGGGCAGGGGGGCGACAGCGGCTGTGTCTGTGGTGGTCGGAACTGGATGGCGGTGCCGATGAGGTCGTAGCTTAGGACTGCAGGAGGGGGTCCTGCTTCCGATCAGAGCGAGGGGCTGTGCTCCTCATGCATCTCACTCGGGCCGCAGTGGGCTTCTTGCTCTTCCGTCAGCCTTGCCGTGTCCGCCCACCTGCATCCCTCGGTTACAGACCCGTAACTCAGCCTGGACAGGTGCTCCGGCCCCGTCGCGGGTCCCAGCCCGGCGCCCTCTCTTCTCAGGCACCTTCTGAACCTTGGTTTTTGAATCCGGCTCGCGGGCACTCTCTGCATCTCTGTGCTTCCGAATTGTTTTATGTTTGTTTGTTTTGTCTTTTAATAAAGAGTATTATTTGGTCCGGGCTGAGGGTGCAAACAGCTCTTCCTATGCACACGGCAAGAAGGAACGTTTTCTACAAACTTCCCATCCTGGTTCAGTAAGTGTGAGGTCTTCTGGTGCAGAATTGTAACAAATCGCAGACCGTGTTGGGTCGAGGCCAAAGTCTTGCTATTTTAAATTAAATAAAGTACTTATTTTTCTTTTGCGTGTTTGGTAAACTGACTGCCCGTGATGGGGGTTGGCGGGCTGGGCACAGCCTGGCCTGTGCTGTGGGGCGGCTCCACGTGGCTGGGACCTGGAAACAACATCCGGGCCCTTCTCTGTGGGCAAGTAGAGTCAAGTGGGGGGAGGCACCCCGTTGGCACAGCCAGCTTTCCCTGAGTGTGCGTGCTGGGCTGTCAGGTGTATGGGGGTGGGGGGTGACAGAATGGGGACTGTGGGATCGAGATTCCTGGGCACTGCCCTGTAAGAGACTGACAGGTCCAGGTTCCAAGGACCCAGAGCCTGGAGCTAAACTCTGATCCCAAGATGCTCCAGCACCGAGCCCCTGACCCCGTCCCCTTGCCTGCACCCCTTTACCATGCCACACCGCAACCCACTGCCGTGGCAGCTCCAGGCTGCCTGGTGGCTGGGACACCAGGGCTGTTCTCTCCAAGACCGGCCGCCTCGTGTACACGACTTGCGTAGCCCACGCAACCCCGCGTTGGAGGAATTGGGGTTTTTTTCAACTGCTGCACCTTGGGAACTTTGCTCCCCAAGGGGCTGCCTGTGTCTTTGTTCTGCTCTCTGGGCTTTGTGAGGTTAAAAATGCCTGGACTGTCAAGAGAATGGGGAAGAGAAACCACGGGCGGGGAGGAAACATTTGCAAAAGGCACGGCCGTGTATCTGCGCAAAGATGCGTGTTAGCGAAGTCCATTATCGCCGTCACTTCACAGCAGGTGCAGACCAAGCCACCATGCTAGATGCACTACACACACCGCCATGTAGGCCGGTTATTTATCAGCAAGGTTGGAAAAATAAGATACAGCTGATAAAGAACTGTTATCCAATATATATGATGAACCTTAAAAATTTTTATTTTAAGTTTATTTATTTTGAGAGAGAGAGAAAGTGCCCGTGTGACCGGGAGGAAGGGCAGAGAGAAGAGAAAGAGAATCCCAAGCAGGCTCCGCACTGTCAGCGCAAAGCCCACCGTGGGGCTCAAACCCACAAACTGTGAGATCATGACCTGAGCTGAATCAAGAGTCAGACGCTTCACCGACTGAGCCACCCAGGCGCCCCTACAATGAACTCTCAACGCTCAACAGCAGGAATTAAGAAATGGCCCAAAGGGTGGGTGGCTCTGTCAGTTGGACATCCAACTCTTGATTTCCGCTCAGATCATGATCCCAGGGGCCCCACATCCGGCTCTGGGCTGAGTGTGGAGCTTGCTTGGGATTCTCTCTCCCCCTCTGCCCCTCCCCTGCCTCTCTCTCTAAAATAAAATTTAAAAGGAAAAAGAAACGGGCCAAAGATTTTGACAGACACCTCCCCAAAGAAGATGTACACATGGCAAATAGGTATGCAAAAAGAGGCTCCACGTCACATATCCTCGGGGAAATACAAATTAAAACAACAAGATACCACCGCGCCCCTGTTGAGTGGCCCAAATTCTGCCAAAACCAAGTGCTGGCGAGGGTGTAGAGCCACAGGGACTCCCACTCGCTGCGGTGGAAAGCATCATGGGAGAGCCAGTTTGGAAGACAGCTGGGCAGTTTCGTATAAAAATAAACATACCCCCGCCATACGATCCAGCAACGGCACCTATATTTACCTGCAGTTGAAAACGTAACATCCGCACGAACACCATCCCATGGCTGTTGAGGGCAGTTTTAGTCATAATTGCCCAAACTTGGAAGCGATCAAGATGTCCACCTCCATCAGGAGGTGGACTGATAAAGCGTGGTCCGCTGAGATGATGGAATATCAGAACTGAGAACTGCCACGCCATGCAAAGACATGGATGATACGCATTTAAGTGAAAAGCCAACCTGCAAAGGCCACGTACTGTGTGATTCCAACCAGATGACGTTCTGAAAAAGGCAAAACCATGAAGACAGCACAATGATCGGGGTTTGCCAGGGGGTAGGGGAGAGGGAGGGAGGGATGGGCAGAGCATGGGATTTTCAGGGCGGTGAAAGCACTCCGTGTGGCACTCTGATGATGGATACCCATTAGCACACATTTGTGCAAACTCGCACCGTGTCCGACACCAGGACGGAACCCTGATGGCACCTACAGACTGTGGGCGATGACGCGCCGAAGTGTGTTCATCCAAGGTCACCAGCACTGCACGGCGATGGAAAGTGTCCATAGTGGAAGGCATCTGCGCCTTCCCGTCACTTCCACTGTGAACCTAAAACCGTCCTAAGAATTAAAGTCTTAATAACATGAACTAATTGAAAATACATTGACCAGCCCCTGGGAATGGCTCGCAGCTTTCCTTTACATTAAGTTTGCTAGGAAGATACAACACACAAAGGGGCGCCTGGGGGGCTCAGTCGGTTAATCATCCGACTTCGGTTCAAGTCATGATCAAGTTCATGGGTTCGAGCCCCGCGTCAGGCTCTGTGCCGACAGCTTGGAGCCTGGAGCCTGCCTCGAATGCTGTGTCTTCCTCTCTCTCTACCCCTCCCCCTGCAAAAATAAGTAAACATTAAAAAAAGTTTTTTTTTAAAGACGCAACACTCACAAATTCACACCATGTTGAAACAGCAGTGCCTAGTCCCCCTTCTAGGCAACGACCACTGTGACAAGGTGCTGTGTGCTTAACTGTGACAAAATGGAAGAAGCCCGGCCCGCTTATGCTGAGAAAGCTTCCTGCAACCCTGTGTTCCTTGTGGGGCTCCCCGTCCCTCTCCCTGCCCGCCCCGTCTCCCCTCGGGCGCCCTGCATCACCTCTTCCCTGACTTGCCCGCCCACCCCCTCGGCCAGCTCAGGGAGGTCCTGAGCGCCACCCAAAGCAGTCTGGCCAGGCGGCCCCCGGCTGAACAGCAGGGGCTGTAGGGAACAGCCCACCCCCCGTGTGCCCTCAGGCCGCCCCTTGCCTGGTACCTGTCCCTCCAAGCTCTCGCCAGCCCCCTCACCCAGCAAACAGCACGCCAGTCCACGCGTGTGACGTGCGGGCTTCCTCTCAACATCAACAAGCAATTCTCTGCGCCACCAGCTGGGTGTCGGACGATTCAATTCGATTCTGACCCCCCTCTGCCTGGAGACGGGGCCAGGCCCTGCAGAAGGAAGGTGCGTCGGACAGGACTGCCCCCCCAGCCCCCAGAGGCCAATCTCAAGTCGCCTGCGCGTCTGACCAGCCAGCTATGATCAGGTCCCGACGACCCCATCCTCAGGTTCGATGAGTCCGCTAGAGGGGCGCACGGAACCCAGAAACATTTTACTTACTTGATTACTGGCTGATTCTACATTTTTAAAAATAGTGTTTACTTATTTTTGAGACAGAGAGAGACAGAGCATGAGCGGGGGAGGGGCACAGAGAGAGGGAGACACAGAATCCGAAGCAGGCTCCAGGTTCTGAGCTGTCAGCACAGAGCCCGACGCGGGGCTCGAACCCACGAACCGCAAGATCGTGACCTGAGCCGAAGTCGGACCCTTAAGCGACTGAGCCACTGGCTGATTCTAAAAGAATATGCTCAGGAACAGCCAGATGGAAATGAGGCGCGGGACAAGGCGTGGGGGAGGGGCACCACTCTGCCGGAAACTCTGCATGTTCACTGACTCAGAGCCCCTCCAGACCCCGTCGTTCTGGGGTTTTATGGAGGCTTAAGTACAGGGGCATGATCGATTACATCCTTGGTCACTGGCAATTTAATTCACTCTCTAGCCCCTCTCCCCTCCCAGGAGGTTGACGGGCGGGCCTGAAAGTTCCAACCATCTAATCCCGTGGTCGACTCCCCAGTCTCATCCCCAGCTTTCCTTGGGGCTTTGCCAACAGTCATCACATGGACATAAAGATGCCCTTTCCACTCTCAATACTTGGGAAATTCCAAGGACCTTAGGATCTGCATGCCGAGACTGAGACTAAGACCAAATATATATTCCTATTAAATCATAGTATTGCAGTGCTGTTCCATGCTGTTCCCTCTCCCTGGAAAGTCTTTTTTTTTTTTTTTTTCCTCTTCTTGTCCCGCCTTTCACTTCTGCCCTGAGCCAGCAGACACCGGAAGAGCACCTGCCTCTGCTCCAGGGCCTTCTAAGCAGGCCTCAGGCGGGCGTGTGTGCAGAGACCTCTCTGGCGTGTTCCTGGCACAGGACGGGCCTCTATCAGGGCCAGCCCAGCACACACCCGGAGCTGAAGCCCTTCACATCTGAAAAGTGAGAAGCTTTGGGGAAAGGATGGACTGATTTCCGAATGAAGCCTGTGGGTCCAAAACAAACAACAAAACCATCAGAATCACTTACTGGAGAAGAGTCTAGAATCCAGGCTCTATGAAGAAAGGCTTTGCCTACTGTTATTAGGCCGGACGTTGCTAGTAGCCAATAACTGGCATTCACGGAGCTGTTGCCTAGGTTTGGGGCCAAACGAGGTGGCACTTCTCAGCATAGAGCCCTGGTCAGCTGCACAGGTTGCAGACTAGAATAAAGAAGAGTACTTTTGTGATGGGGCCTTACTGTATCTCAGGGTGAGAGCGGCAACATCGGGATATTAGGTGATATTGTTGAAGTATGGCTTGGGGGGTGTCTCTCAATGTACTTCAATTGGGCAAAGATCACGAGATATTGATGAAATCTGAAGTGGGGTTTGCATGCAAATGGCTAAGAAATCTTGAGATGTCTTTGTTGCAAAAAGGGGGTTTTATTAAAGCACAGGGACAGGACCCTGAGGAGAGACTGGGTGTATACTCTGGGGTTAGAGGAGATAAAGTCAAGAGGAAGTTTCTTTCTTTCTTTTTTTTTTAATGTTTCATTTATTCTTAAGAGAGAGAGAGAGACAGAACATGAGCAGGGGAGGGGCAGAGTGAGAGAGGGAGGGACACAGCATCCGAAGCAGGCTCCAGGCTCTGAGCTGTCAGCACAGAGCCCGATGCGGGGCTCGAACCCACAGACCGAGAGATTATGACCTGAGCTGAAGTCAGCCGCTTACCCGACTGAGCCACCCAGGCGCCCCAAGAGGAACCCCGAGAGGAAGTTTCTTAAAAGGATTTTCATGTGCTA